TTAGAGCGTCGGCCTGCGGTCCGGAGAGACCCGGGTTCGGTTCCCGCTAAGGGCACGTACCTCAGTTGCAGTTTGTCCCCAGCCCTGGTTGGGTCGTGTGGGTGGCAACCACTCGATGTGTCCCTTTCATGTCTGTGTTTCTCTCTCTCTCTCTCTCTCCCCCCCTCCTACTCTATCTGAACAAAATATGGAAAAATGTCCTCGGGTGAGAATAAAAAAACAAACATTTCTTGAGTTTAAAACATAGGATTTCAATGTTGCAAGTTTAATGCAAAAAGAAAAAAGGTCCTATGGTTTCGTTGACTCCAAGAGGGAGTACTGAGCCTGGTCAGTGTTCCCAGATGCTGGGAGGAGCACCGGAGGCTCCCTGGAGGAGGGGGCGGTGTCCTGAGGAAGTGGTCATCCGGCGCACAGCTTGCCTTTGCACGTCTGTGCGTCACCCGCTGGGCTGACAGGAACGTCCCTGCCCGTGGGATCAAGCAGGGATTAAAGACGGAAGGTCTGGACCGGACGGAGTGTAGCTGGAGGTGCCTGGCGCACACTTAGAGAGGTGACTCCTTCCCCTTTCTCTCTTCCAACCCAGAAAACAACGAAATTCCCCCAGACCAACTTCCCACCAGCGGAAGCAGAGAAACGGGAACTTTGCAGAGCTGCCTCCGTGACTCAGCCCTCAGGTGGACCCGCAGAGGCCTCCGGCCCTGCCAGGTCCTTCGCTGTGCCCAGGGCCCCAGGCCGCTCTCCCGCGTGCCAGAACCTGAGTCAGGACGCCTGGGACTCTGCCGGCGGCTGTGCTTGAGGCCGTCTGTCTCCCTTCAAAGCGCTGGCCTCTGGGTTCCCCGTTTTGGTGGCTGGGGCCCCGACCACCCGGAGGCCCGGCAGGATCCTCAGCCAGCCCGCAGTAAGCTGGGCGCAGGGTCTCCTGGCCCTCCCTGTCTCATGGTCACTTGTCCATCCTGAGACAGACTCATGGTCTCGAGGTTCTGTGGCCAGCGGGGCTCAGCCGGGTGGTTCTTCTGTCCAAGTGATGTTGGGAAGCGCCACTGTCTTGGGGCTGGGCTGGGCTGGCCAGGGCAGGTGGCTCGGTGGTCTGGCACCTCGCAGGGGTCGGGGCTCTGCCTGGGTGCTGGCTGGCCACACCTGTCCCTCAGGGCACCGGCTCAGGCCTCTGCTCCTGCAGCTGAGTAACTGGGCACAGACCCATTAAAGTGCAGAGTGGACACTGTTCCTTAATCACAGGCCAGGACTGGCTCTGTCCCAGGCCAGAGTCAGGGTGGGAGGGGCCACCCAAAGCCCTCCTGGTCTGCCCTCTGGACGCCTCCTTCCCTGGCCCGCCTTGTGTGTTCCCCTCTCCCGGAAGCTGCGCCAGCCCAGCCCCTCATCAGGGCCCCCACGGCACCTTTGTGCTGGCCTGGCCCTCGGGGAGGTGTGGGGGCCCTGTCTGGGCAGACAGGCGGGGTCCTGAGAGGTGGCCCAGGCTGCTGCGCACCCCGGGGCTGACACGTAGACCGGCTGGGCTGTGTGTGATGCAGATGCTGTTCCCACTTGGCCCTGTCAGGGCGCACAGCTGTGTGATAGGAGCTGGGCAGGGAGGGGATGCCCCTGGTGCTGGGAAGGGAGGGTCGGCCCTGTGTGGTCAGGGTGGAGGCGCACGAGAGAGGAAGTGACATATGAGCAGGCTGGGAAGGTGCTCCAGGCGGATGGAAGTCAGGGAACCGAAAGAGGCCAGAGCAGCAGAGTGGGAGGCTGGGGTGGGGCTGGGCCTGCAGAGCCCCTGACCGAAGGGCCGGCGGCCAGCGGCGGCAGTCACAGGTGTGTATTTTTAGAAGGCCACCCTGGCTATGGTTGGGAGAGATCATGTTCAGCAACCCGCCATGTCACCTTGTGCTCACCAGAGAAAATGAGGGTGACTCGCCATCTAAAGATGACCTCTGTTAACATTTTTGGAGTGTTTCTTTGCAGTGAGGAGCTCATTTTTAAATTTAGGTGGGAGGGAGGAAAGGGGAGAAAGAGAGAGAGAAACGTCGATGTGAAAGAGACCCATTGATGGGTTGCCTTCCACACGACCCCGACTGGGTTGGGGTTCGAACCTGCAACCCAGGTACATGCCCTTGACTGGGGATCGAACCCATGACCCTTCGGTGCTGGAATGGAGGGGGTTGCCGATGCTCTAACCATGGGGCCACCTGGGCCAGGGCTGTTTTACCTTTTTATTAGAACAAATTGCCTTCCTGGCCGAGCTCCTTAGGGATGAAAGGAAAAATCACTCTGCCTCGCTCCCAGAATTAAGACTTTGAACACACAGTAGCTAGCGAAATACATTCACAGCAGCCTTCACGCTTCGTGGTCCCTGTGCATTTTGCAATATGGTGATTTATTTAGCCTTTACCCACGAAGCACTCGTGGTTGGAAACGGCATTGAAAGTGTCAGACACGTTGCCCGTCCAGACAGGACAGGCCCCCGGGACCCCTTCTCGCCCGGGCCGTTTGGCCGTGTGCCCTCCTTGTCTTCCTGGCCAAGCGTGGTGGGCACGGGCCCTGATGAGCCCCGGCCCCCTTCTGGCTGACGCAACGTTGGAGGTTGGGTCTGGAACGTGGGTTCACGTTGGTTTGGTACCAGGGTGGTGGTTTGATAGTGGTTCTGGCCGAAACGGAAGTACCTGGAGATTCGTGGGTTGTGAATAAAACCAGGAGAAATACAACAGAAGTGGTGTTTGGGGACTGCAGAGCGGCGTGGCCGTGACGGTGCTGCGTTGCTCTGTGCCGTCTCAGCAGCAGTGTGGGCACAGGTGTCCCCTTGGCCCTGGTCTCACCCCGCCCTTAGCACATGATGTGGCGCCTGAGTCCCTCCTGGACCTCACCTCTCTGAAAGGGCCCTTTACTCCGGGGCCACGCATGACCCTCAAATGCATGAAAGTGCCCTCTGCTCTGGCAGCAGCACAGGTGCTTCAGAGATGGTCAGATTATCTGTCCATAGATGTGAGCCCACAGGTATGTTTTCATGAACGGATGTGCGTCCTGCGGCCAGGTGCGCGTTCCCTGGACAGGTGTGCATCCTGCGGCCTGGTGTGCGTTCCCTGGACAGGTGTGCGTTCCCTGGACAGGTGTGTGTCCTGCAGCCAGGTGCGCGTTCCCTGGACAGGTGTGCGTTTTCTGGACAGGTGTGTGTTCTGCGGCCAGGTGCGCATTCCCTGGACAGGTGTAGGTGTGCGTTCCCTGGACAGGTGTGCATCCTGCGGCCAGGTGTGCGTTCCCTGGACAGGTGTGTGTTCTGTGGCCAGGTGTGCGTTCCCTGGACAGGTGTGTGTTCTGTGGCCAGGTGTGCGTTCCCTGGACAGGTGTGCATCCTGCGGCCAGGTGTGCGTTCCCTGGACAGGTGTGCGTTCCCTGGACAGGTGTGTGTCCTGCGGCCAGGTGTGCGTTCCCTGGACAGGTGTGTGTTTCCTGGACAGGTGTGCATCCTGCGGCCAGGGCAGGTGCTCTGCTCTCCTTGCCCTCACACCGTGACCTTGCTCAAGTGTGCACCTCCCTTGTTGGCTCTGTGATGACTGGCTTTGCTGCCCAGGGTGCTTCCAATTTTAGGGTCACAGATGCTGAACAGCAACCAGGCAGCTGGCCGCCAGGCAGCTCTCTCCCTTGGGCTAGGTGGGCCAGACCCCACAAATGTCTTCCTGACCCTGAGAGGTTTTCACTGAAATGCACATCAGCTGCCGTCCCGAGCTCCTGGGTGGGGCGTGCCCCTCCAGCATGTCCGCAGCGGACAGATCTGTTTAAACTGCCGGTGTCCAGCCCTTTCCCTCAGTGTCCACGCAGCCTCTCAGAACGCTGCGTTGCTCTTACGACAGAATCTCTGTAAGGTCCACACCGAGTTCCCGGCTGCCCCAGTTGAGTAATGACCTGTCTCAGAACTTGCGTGTGCACTGAAGTGATTGAGGTCGCCTCTCATCTGTGGGCAGCGCTGGGCTCTTTCCCTTCGCCGAGATCTTCCTGATTCTTCAAGGGTTTGTCCCACTGGTGAGGACTTATTTGTATAGGAAATCAGATAATGAAACCTCCGCTTCCTCCTTTGAATGCGGTGCCCGAGGCCTTCCTTCTCCTGTCACGTGGCCAGGAGCTGGTGGGAGGTAATTAGTGAAGATGAGGTCACTGGAGCTGGTGGCCCTGGTCCAGCAGGACCCCTGTCCTTATGAGAACGGGACATGGGGGCAGACACCCACAGGGAGAGTGCCGTGGTAAGACAGAGGCAGGGATGGGGGCACACCCACAAGCCAAGGAATGCCAAGGGGTGTGGGCCACCAGCAGCCTTCAGCAGGGGAGACCCAGCTGACACCTTGGTCTGGGAGTCAGGCTGCCTGGTCTGTGGCACCGCGTTCCTGAGAGACTGTTGCAGGCAGCAGAGAGAGGGGGGCACACAGGTTGGGAGCTGCAGGCTGGGAATGCATTGGGGGGGGGGGTGGGCAGCACCAAGTCAGAGATGGATTTGGTGACCACGAAGCTTCACGAGGGTAAGCCGGGGATGCCTGTCCCTTCCACAGAAAACCTTCTCAGGTCCCAAGCTGGTCCGGGGCCTGCTCCCCGGGAAGCTGGTGGGGCTGTTGGCTGGAGGTTTGTGGGGTGAAGGCTGCGACGGCTGCTTCATCCCGTTGCTCAGAGGCTCTTCCCTAGGAAGTTGTTCTCTCGTTTGTTTTATTTTTGAGGCTATTCCTTCAAGGGTGAGGGATGAGGACACAGATTATTTAACCTAGACTTTCCATTCGGATGAGAAATTTGCTCCCTACCGATGGGCGTTTTTCTTGTCGCTGGGACCTTTGCTTTTTGTTCTGAGAGTTTGCTGTGTGTCCAGAAACGCGTGTCCGTTGTGAGGGCCTCGGACTAGAACCCCCCCCATCACGGCCGGGCCCCCTGTGGGTCTGCGCTCGCCGGGGCCTCCCTCCGGCGCACGCCCTGAGCGCCTGGCGGGCTGTGCCGGCCGAGTGGCTGACTGTCCCTTCTTGTCCCCACAGCGTCTGTAGAAGAGGCAACCCCACGGCTTCCCAATGAACAACCGGAAGGAAGATATGGAAATCGCGTCCCACTACCGGCACCTGCTGCGTGAGCTGGACGAGCAGAGGCAGCACGGGGTCCTCTGTGACGTGTGCGTCGTGGTCGAGGGCAAGGTGTTCAAGGCTCACAAGAACGTCCTGCTCGGCAGCAGCCGGTACTTCAAGACGCTGTACTGCCAGGTGCAGAAGACGTCCGAGCAGGCCACGGTCACGCACTTGGACATCGTCACGGCCCAGGGCTTCAAGGCCATCATCGACTTCATGTACTCCGCCCACCTGGCCCTCACCAGCCGGAATGTCATCGAGGTGATGTCCGCGGCCAGCTTCCTGCAGATGACGGACATTGTGCAGGCGTGCCACGACTTCATCAAGGCCGCGCTGGACATCAGCATCAAGCCGGACGCCTCGGACGAGCTCTCGGAGTTCGAGGTGGGTGCCCCGTCCGGCAGCAGCACGGACGCCCTCATCTCTGCCGTGATGGCCGGAAGGAGCATCTCCCCGTGGCTGGCTCGGCGCACGAGTCCCACCAATTCTTCCGGGGACTCGGCCATCGCCAGCTGCCACGAAGGAGGAAGCAGCTATGGCAAAGAGGACCAGGAGCCCAAGGCCGACGGCTCCGACGACATGTCTTCACAGTCGCTGTGGCCTGGCGATATGGGCTACGGGCCCCTGCGCATCAAGGAAGAGCAGATCTCGCCGTCTCATTACGGAGGGAGCGAGCCGCCCTCTGCCAGGGATGGCGGGACACAGAACTCTTTCTCCGAGCAGGCCGCAGGGGACAGCTGGCAGCCCACAGGTCGAAGGAAGAACCGGAAAAACAAAGAGACCGTCCGGCACATCACGCAGCAGGTGGAGGACGAGAGCCGGGCCGGTTCCCCAGTGCCGTCCTTCCTGCCCACGTCCGGGTGGCCCTTCAGCAGCCGCGACTCAAGTAAGTCTTTTATTTGTTCCAGGTGGGGCCCCGCGGCTGCTCGTGACGCCAAGTGACGCAGTCCCAGGCTCACGCCGGTGGTTCCGCTGCTGTGTGTGCGCACCGCCGCTGGGTGGCACCGCACAGTGTGGGGCTCTAAGCTTGTTGAACCAGTTCTCACACTCTGGACGATACTTTGTATCTGTCTCCCAGATGTTGACTCAGTGTTTACTGAGTGTCAGGTGCTCTTCCTGGTGGTAATGAGGGTCGAACTGAGCCTTTCTCGGTGGCACATGGGGGAATGAGCACCCTGGGGACTTGAGGGCTGTGGTTAGGGGTTAGGGACCACCAAGGGTCGGTCCGGATCAGGCTTCTTAGCAGATGTCCACCATGGGGAGTCTTGTCCACAAAGTAGGTTAGAACTCAGCCGAGTGAATGGACAGAGATGGACAGAAGGCAGCAAACCGTGGGGCAGTGAGCCCTGAAAAATGTCACGAATGCTTACGTGCCATTTGCTGGTGGGGGCCCCTGCTCCCCTGCTGGGAAGTCTTCCTGGGGCCCGTTGCCACTCTCCTCAGTAGGAAGAGTACCCCTAGCCCCCATGCACTACAGCTTTATTACCGTAGTGAAAGACACATACCATAAACTTTTAGTCATTTTTAAAAATCCTCACCCGAGGATATGTTTTTATTGATTATTAGAGGGAGAGGAAGGAAGAGAGAAACATCCATGTGAGAGAGAAACATTGATTGGGTTGCATCTCATACACTTCCTGACCAGGAATCGAACCCACCACCTTGTGGTGTACAGGATGGTGTTCCAGTCAATTGAGCCACCTGGCCAGGGCCCCTTTTTTTTTTTTATCCTCACCCGAGGATATTTTTCCATTTTTTGTACAGATAGAGTGGGAGGGAGAGAGAGGAAGGGAGAGAGAGAGAGAAACATCGACGTGAAGGGACACATCGAGTGGCTGCCACCCGCTCGACCAACCAGGGCCGGGGACAAACTGCAACCGAAGTACGTGCCCTTAGCGGGAACCGAACCCGGGTCTCTCCGGACCGCAGGCTGACGCTCTAACCGCTGAGCCAAACTGGCCAGGGCCAGGGCCCCTTTTAACCATTAAAAAAAAATTTTTTTTTTCTTTATTGGTTTTAGAGAGAGAGGAAGGGAGAGGGAGAGAGATAGAAACATCAATGAGAGAGAATATCGATTGGATGCCCCCCGCACTGGGGATCGGGCCCATAACCTGGGCATGTGCCCTGACCGGGAATTGAACCAGCAACCTCTTGGTGCAGGGTCGATGCTCAACCACCGAGCCACACCTGCCGGGCCTGACTGGGAATTTAACTGGCAACCTCTTGGTGCAGGGTTGATGCTCAACCACTGAGCCACACCAGCCGGACCCTTTTAACCAGTTTTAAGTGCACAATTCATTGACATTAAATACATTCATATTGTTGTTCAGCCATCACTAATCCATTCCCTAAACTTTCTGTTTATCCCCAAATTGTAACTCTGTATCCATTAAACAGTGGCATCCAGATACACTGTAGCTTGTAGTACTCATTCTTGGTCTCATTGCTACTGTATCCGCTGCATGTTCTGGGTTGACCAGGCCTCCGCCTGGGCTGGGTAACGGTGTGGGGCGTCCTGGGATGTAAGCAGCGTCCCTGACTTCTATCCACTGGAGGCCGGTAGCAAGCCGCCCGCTAGTTGTGACAACCAAATGTCTCCAGACATTGCCAATGTCTCCGACAGGCAGCCCACAGGAACCGTTGGTGTTTCACTGAACTAAGTCAGAAGAAGGCTGGTGTCTGTCCCCCTGCTAGCTGTCGGTAAGGAGAGGGACAGCGGTGTCCCCGTCTGCTCCTGACTTTGATTGTAGTTGTCCCCCAGCTCTGCCTAGGGCCTGACGAGCAGCAGTCCACGGTGAATGACCAGATAGAGGCTTCGTGCCGAACCTGCCGTGGTGGTCAGCGCAGAGGTGTCCCCGCCTCCGTCACGCATCACCTGTCGCCTGCGGGCTGTGATGCTGGAGCCCGTGAGGCGGGGAGTCACCCTCCAACGAGGAGGCAGTAAGTAGCCTCCTCAAGCCTGTGGGTTGGATGTTTCAAATGCGCTTGTCGAGCAGAAGGTGTTTTTAGAATCCAACAAGTGATTTCTACTGTGTACTCTTGTTAATGTCTTAAATTTCTTGGGTTACCAAGGCAACTGTGAGCTGCTCCTGCTGGATTGTTCCAAGTCGCTGAGACAAGGACATGAGGTTGTGGGCTCGCGTGGGACGGTCTGCCCGGCTCGCGGAGTCCGCTCACTGCGCCCCAGCCCCGGGCAGGGGTTTACAAGTGCAACTGTGCTCCCCAGTGGAGGTCACTTGGTTTGCATTTAAGATGTACTGCATCTTAAAGAGAGTTTTTTATTCCCAGCTCGCTTTTCGTAGAAAAGACCTTTCCCCAGAGAAGTGTGCCCTGTGGTTACCGAACATTGTTTGGGGCACTGGCGTGTATACTCAGGTGTCCAGTCCTGCAGGCTGCCCACCTGCCCTGACCCCTGTGTGTCCCACCTCCGCTGTGGTGACTGGGGCCTGTCAGCATCTGGAGCGACTTTTTCCCAGCGAAAGGCCGTGCTTCCTAACCTGGCAGCTTCCAGGAATCGTGTAATCATGGCGTCTCGTGCGTGAGGCAGGTTGTGGAGATAGCGTTGACCCAGGCAGGGACGTGTGCACACGGTGATGTTCTGGGGCTGGGGAGACCTCACCCTAGGCCTGCACGTCCTCTCGTCTTCCTTGACCTCCAGCCTCACCATCTGTGATCCCAAGGGCGGCCCAGCGCCTTGGAGGAGGTGGGTTTCTACCTCCCTGGGGGTTCGGGAAGAGCCCAGGTGCCTGGTGCTGACGTCCCGCGTGCCCGCAGGTGCTACAGACGTGTCGTTCTGTAGCCAGGATGGAAAGTGTGGGTTTGGCAGAGTAAATGTTTGCACCTGCACTGAGACCGCGGCATATTGGGAGTTTCACAAATACGTGGGAGCCACAGAACAGCTTCGGGGTGGTGAAGGTGGCCCCGGGAGGCTTGTCGCTGGCCACTCGTGCCTGGCAGCTCTCCCCTGCCTGGGACGGGGCAGGTGGCTCGGCAGCCCCCCGTGGCGGAGTCCGAGGTTCCCAGCCCCTCGGAGCTTGTCGCTGGGGCTGAGGCAGGAGCTGGTTCCAGGCTGGTGGCCTCTCCTCTTGTGCCCTCCTCGAAGTCTGGCCGTCCCACCCGACTGTCGTACCGGGCTGCAGCTACGTCCTGAACCACACAGGACTCAGAGGACTTGTCTGGAGAAGCCGGAACCCCTGAGTTTGGGTTGACCGACAGGCGGTTCCATGACCTGACTGCAGGGGCGATGACGCGCCCCGCCCAGCGCCTCGGTCCTCCGAGCTCAGGACCTCGGGGAGATTGTGCAGGGGCTCTGGCACTCCCCGAAGGAGTGACTCCCCCTCAATTTGATCGTCTCTGTGGAAAGAGAATAATCTTGCGGGTAAAGGGTCTGAATGTGAAGTGACCCCACATGCTTCAGGCTGGGACTGGCCCTACCTCCAACACCTGGTTTTCGAGACTCCACCCGAGACACAGGGACCTCCCTGCTCTGCGGTTCAGTCCTTCCCTCAAGATTCGGAGCACTTGGCTGTACCCCCACCCCTGACGTTTGCCTCGGGTGTGACAGATGGTCGGTCCTGTGGCCGTGGCGCCCCAGAACAGACAGCAGCACCCCGTGGGATGGGTGGTCAAGAATGAGGGGCTCGGGCCCGTGGGGGGAGGGTGGGCAGGCTGGCGCCGACCTCAGCAAACGAGTGACTGTGAGACCGGCCTGGGTCGCGCCCTGGGACCTGCGTTTGTGCCTCTGTGGCTTGTCCATGCGCGAGGCCACATCTTGGAGTCATCGTCTGAACTCGCCCTGGGCTTTGCTGGGCCAGTGTCGCTGCTCTTCCCGCTCGGGTTGCCGGACGGAGCTGGGGACCCCACTGTCGCAGCCAGAGGAAGCCCGGAGGAAGAGCTCGCGTGTGTTGTGGGTTGGCAAGGCCACGGGCAGGCCCCGCGGTGGCTGAACCCCGCAGGGCAGGGCGGTGATGCCGCAGCCGGCACCCCTCTTCCTCGGTCGCCGTGTCCCTGTGGCCCAGGCCCTGCTGGGCCTGGTGCGTGTTCTGTTGCCTGAATACACCAGTGTTTGTGTATCCGGCCTCTCGCCGACGGACGTGGGCACTGGGGCCAGTTTTCGCTATTATGAATGAAGGTTCTGTGAGTGTTTGGGCCAGTCTGTTCTGTGGACATGTGTTTCCCTTTCTCTTGAGTAAACACCTAGGCATGGAGCATCTGGGTCATACGAAGGGCGGACTTCAGTTTTATAAGAAAGTGTCAGACTTCTTCCTAAGTGGTCTCGTCATTCCCCACTCCCAAGAGTGGGCGAGGGGTTGGGGTCACTTGGTGCCCCCCACGGCTCTGCCTGGTGTCTGTCTTTTACTTGTAAACACTAGTGGGTGAGTCTGATGAGTTTTCACAAATGTTGCAGCCCTGTGTTCAGGAGAGAGACCGTTTCCACCACCAGGAATGTTCCCTCCTGCCCTTTCAGTTACCCGTACCCCCCACGCCCCACACAGCCCCTCCAGACTCATCTCAGAGCAGCCAGCTTGAGAAGTATAAACATGACCATCGTTCTGAGACGGCTGTGGACTAATCATCAACTGTAAGAAGTAATACGATGAGATCCCGTGTTTCTTCGGGTGGCTTTCCCCAGTGGCATCATCTTGCACATTACAGCCGGAATCACAGCCAGGATGTGGACGTTGATGCAGCCCGTGACCTGAGCCCCCCGCCCAGCCTCGCTGCAGGGTTGTCACCGCCACAACCCCCGGCAGCCGCTCACTCGTGTGTCTCCACCTCTGTGATTTTTCATGTGCTTTTGAGTTTCGTTCAGTTGTGGGCATCAGTAAGTCTTTCTTTTACTGCCAAACACACTGTTCTATGGTTGTAGCAGTTTGTTAATTCATTCATCTGCTGTGGGGTTTGGTTTTCTGGGAAGTTTTCAGCCACAGCGAACAAGGCCGCCGGGAACGTCCGGGGCAAGTCCAGCCTGTGCTGGCCCCTGTCCTCCTGGGGTCGGGTCTGGATGTCACCGTGCAGAGCGCGTGGCGTGTTCGTGGGCTGTGGCTGCGGCGATGAGCGTGTCTCCACGTGCTGACTGGCCTCCACACCTCTCCTTTGGGGACGTACTAGGGAAGAAGGCTTTGTCGTTTGTCATCGCCGAACAGAGAGTTCTTTGCAAATCCTGATTACACGTCCTTCCTCGTGTGTGTGTGTGTGTGTGTGTGTGTGTGTACGTGTGTGTGTGTGTGTTTTGCAAACATTTTCTCCCGGTCTTTGGCTCATTTTTTATTTAACGCTGTCTTTCGAGGCACATACATTTTGAATTTTGATGAAGTCCAATTTGTGAACTTCTCCTATTACGGTTCATGCTTTTCGGGTTCTATCTAAGAAGTCTTTGCCTCAGGTCACAGAGATGTCTCCTGGCAGGTTATAGGTTTCGGTCTAACGTGTGGGTCTGTGTGAAGCGAGGCCCGGGGGCGGCGGGGCTGTGTCCTGGAAGGGGGGTGTCTGGAGGCAGCCTCCCCGTCTGGCCCTGCACTGCTCACAGGGTGGCACTGGCCACACACAGCGTCTGGAGGGTGCCGGCGTGGCTGGCACACTCGGAAACTCAAGCAGCACTGCCGGCATTTTTTCTCGGCGTGTGGAATAAATAAAGACGCAGGTTCTGAGCTCATCCCCCGGCTTTTGAAAAGAAAGCTTGTACTTTTCAAAAATCCTTACCCGAGGATGATTGATTGTAGAGAGAGAGGAAGGGAGAGACACAGAAACATTGACGGGAGAGAGAAACATGGATCGGCTGCCTCCCGGACGTGCCCGACTGGGAATCGAGCCCTGACCTTGGTGTACGCGGGACGAGGCTCCAACCAGCCGCGTGGCCAGGGCTGCGCTCATCTCTTCTTGCTGCAGGTGAAGAGCTCCTGAATGCCCTGACCTTGGAGTAACCTTTAGCTGGGGACAAGGGCACCCCTCTTCTTCCCCAAGACTTTCTGAGGCTCGGAAGAACTCGGGCCATTGTTTGTAATGTGTTTACAGCCAAGAGATGCTTTTTTCTCCTCCCTCCCTTCCTTCCTTATTTCATTCACGAAACAGTTCCTGAAGCAACCACACCCACGATAAGCGAATGGATAGACAGCATGTGACTCATTCACACTGTGGAGTGGTCGGCAGCCTTCGGAGGAGGGGCTTCTGAACCCGTGTGTGGATGAACCCCGAGGACACGTGCTCAGTGACATGAGCAGACACAAACACTGTGATTCTGCTCACAGGAGGTCCCTAACGTAGTCAAAGTCATAGAGACAGGGCGCAGAATGGTGGGTGCCAGGAGCTGGGGTGCAGGGGGTGTTTAGTGGGGACAGAGTCAGTTTTACGAGATGGGAGGGTCCTGGAGGGGAGGGTGGTGACCAGGGGACTGCAGCACACTTAGCGCCCCCGAGCTGTGCGCTTTAACACGGTTCCGGCCGTCATTGTGTCACCTGTGCTTCCTCCACTTAGAAAATTGGAAAGAGCCCGGCCAGTATGGCTCCGTGATTGAGCATCGACCCTGCACCAAGAGGTCGCTGGTTCAATTCCCGGTCAGGACACGTGCCCAGGTTGTGGGCCGAATCCCCGGTGGGGCCGTGCAGGAGGCGGCCAATCAGTGTTCTCTCTCATCGATGTTTCTTTCTGTCCCTCCCTCTCCCTTCCTCCCTCTCTGTAAAAAATTAATAAAGAAAAATAATAATAATGTTTAAAAAAAATTGGAAAGAGCCCGGCTGGTGTGGCTGCACAGCTAGAGCATCGGCCTGTGCCCTGAGGGTCTTGGGTTCGATTTCCAGGCCAGGCTATGTGTCTGGGTTGCAGGTTCTATCCCCAGCCCGGTCCGGGGCACATGCAGGAAGCAATCAACCAATGTGTCTCTCTCACATAGATGTTTGTCTCTCCCTCCCTCCCTTACAGTCTCTCTAAAAATCAATGGAAAAAATATCCTGGGGCGAGGATTAAAAATAAAAATAATTAAAAAGAACGTGACCACGATCTAGGCACCTGGGATTCCCAGCGACGGCCCTGCCCCGAGAAAACCTGGGGAAGCAGGCGCCAAACGTACGGATGGTGTGGTGTTTTGGGGCCAGAACAAAACGGGCCAGGAGGGTGGAGGGGACACGTGGGCTCCCCGAGCAGAGCTGTGCGTGTGTGCGAGCATGTATTTGTGTGCGTGCAAATGTGTGTGTACGTGCGTGCGTGCGAACATGTGTGCGCAAGTCTGTATTGTGCGTGTGTGCAAGGGTGCATGCCTGTATGCATGTGTGAGCAAATGTGCACAAGTGTGTGTACGTGTGCAAGCACGTGTGTGTGTGTGTAGTGTGTGTTTCTAGATGGCGGGACCCCTTAAGGTGCTAACTAGTGAGTAGGGCACCCGGTCCTGTGCAACATTCCCTGGCTGGGCAGCCTCGCCTGGTGCTCCGGGCTCCTGGGGGCGGTGTTTATTTCAGAACCGTCCTGTCCGCACCAGGACTCGGAGTCTCGGGATGGCTGTGTGAGGGAGGTGGCCTGACTCAGGCGGCCTGCCTGCAGGTCCTTGGTGGGATTCATCAGGAGTGGACACGCCCCTCGCCCCCATCTGGCCGTCGGCTTGGTGCTCAGACATCCGTCACAGTTTTCCCTAAGCCACCGCGTCCGAGTTTGCCACAAACAGCTGCTCAGGGGCAGAGGGCTGGGTGGGTGCAAAGAGTCTCGTCGCCGGTTGCCTGACCGAAGACGTCTGTGTGCTGTCTGCTGTCCGTGGGCCAAGGGTCCCACTGTCGTTCTGGCCTTGGAGCCTTTTCTTTGGGGGGAGGGTGGAGCCAGTTTACGTCCCATCTTTGTGGCTGAATGACGGCCGGAGGCAGATCTGACCCAGGACATCCGCCTCCCACCTGTGCTCTGGGCCGCAAACTACCCGCCACCTGGGGTCCCCCTGCAAGTGGCCCCAAATGCCTTCTACGTTGACGTTAACCCCTAAACGTTGTTGCCGAAGTGAAGCCATAGCCTGTGGTGCTGGCCACAGTCTCCGCGGGGTTCGAGTGGCTTCAGCTTCTTCAGAGCAGAAACCGCGCAAGAGCCGCGTGGCGCTTCCCCAGAGCATCCGACTCTGGATAGGTTGCGAGGCGGATGCGCTTTAGCTGCCTCTTCTGCTCGTAGAGGTTTTGTTTTTGTTTTTGTTTTACCTCATTGCCTTAAACTCCTTTCTGCGTCCACGCTGTGACCTGTGGGACCCGGGACAGTGGCCGAGTGTCATCGGCTTTACGGAATGTTCAGACGTTGTGAGACGTCTGCATTGGTCATTCTGTGCGTTCCCAGCCCTTGGAAGGGACCAGTTACTCTGCAGTTTTATTTGAACCGCATGAATCTTATGTTACGAGGTGTCCCGAGGGTCACTTCCAGGACGTGCCTCTGCCCGGGGTGCCAGCGCTTTGGGAATGCGGCCCCTGGTGGCAGCCGCGTCTGCAGGTGGACAGCGGACTCCGGGGACCTTCCCAGGTGTTTTATCACGAAACTGCTTGGGGCTGCAGGTCACTGCTCTGCATCCTACCGGAGTTTGCTAAGGGGCCGGTTCACTGTGCTAAACAGGTTTTCCGAGGCTGATGTGACTGTTTCCAGGCAGGAAAATTCTGGAGTCACGGTGGCCTCTGCCCCTCATCCTGGGGACGGCTTCCGTGGTTCCGAGTCAGGTCCTCACCTGAGGCCTTAGCGGAGATTTCGCCATGTCCTGGGCATATTGTGGACCTTGGTGACAGGAGGGGACTTCCGAGCAGCTGGGTGGTCAGGAAGCTCGTCACCATGGCTTCTTCCCTGCTTGGAGAGTCTTGAAATGACCTGCGTGTTGTGTTTCTCCCCAGATTCGGACTTGACCATCACTGAGGCCAGCAGCTCTGACAGCCGAGGGGAGAGGGCGGACCTCTATGCCCACGTGGACGAGGGTCTCCTCGGGGCAGAAGCCAGCTACCTGGGCCCTCCCCTCACCCCTGAGAAGGAGGAGGCCACCGCGGTGGCCAACCTTCGGGCGGCGCTCATGAGTAAGAACAGCCTGCTGTCTCTCAAGGCCGATGTCCTCGGGGACGACAGCTCCCTCCTGCTGGAGTACCTGCCCAAAGGCACCCACTCTCTGTCCCGTAAGTGCCGGCCTGTGGCCACTTCGCTCTAAATTCTGATTCTGGTGCTGAGAGGAGCAGAGGGCGTAGATCCACGAGGCAGTGGGTTCGGGTGCTGTGCGCGGGTCCCGTGTTCGGCTGTGGGGTTTGGCCCCCTCAGACCCCCCAAGGTTGTCAGGGAGGTGACACAGGACAAGGTCCATGTGGGGTTGTCAGGGCAACGGGGGGGGGGCAGTTTGTGTTTGTTCAGACATTTTCTACTTGAAATCGAGGCTCTAAACCTGAAGTTTGCTCGATCTCGGAAGCGCACACGAGTGGCTAAGGACAGGGAACCCTGTTTCCGGGCAGGACGGGCGGGAGGGGACGGGAGGGACAGGGAGCCCTCATGCAAAGGGCACAGGCTCGGCTGCTGGCACTGGTCCCACCTCCACGCGTGGTTCATTCCACGCGGAGAGAGGTGCGAGGAAGCGGAAACCAGGGCTTTCTGCTGGCTTTGCCGGCGCACAGGGACCGTCACAGGGAGCTGGTGTGTTCACAGTTCCAGCGCCCCAGTGCCTGCCAGGCGCTCGGAGCAGCCGACTTGCCGGGCTCAGACGCGTCCTCCCAACGCCACATGGTGTGTTAGCTTCTGCGCAACCCGCCCATGAGCCCGCCCGGTGCTTCCGCGTCGTGGGTGCTCTGAAGAGCCCTTCTGGGGACACGGCTCCTGTGCAGGCCCTGAGGTGTCACCAGGAGAAACCCTGGTTGGTGCTCAGCGTGGTTGTGAGAGCGAGCGGGGGCCGTGGTTCTCCGTGGGGATGGAACCCCCAGCAGGAGGCTCTGAGTGTGGAGGGGGTTCGAGGTGCCCCACCCGGGGCTGGAGCACCGCGGGACGGGGGAGGACCTGCCAGGGTGCTGGGTGCTGGGGACCCGGACGAGTACCTTTGTTTTCACGACCACTGAAATATTTAAATGTCTGTGTTGGGGGGATGAAACTGCTGTCGCTAATAAAGACTGAAACTGGAAAATAACGTTGACGTTCCCATTATTTCCATGTGCTGAGGTCAGAGCTGTGCCCGGCCAGACGCCGGGCCGTGGCCAGGACTCGGTGGGGGTTCAGACCCGGCCTGTTTGGGGCACGGAACATCGAGGGTAGCGCCTCCTACACGGTGGTTGTGAATTTGAAACGACATAGCATTTGGGAAACGTGGAACTTCTAAGCCAGGTGTGCGGTCGACGCCCCAGCGTGCCGGTCCCGTCCCTGCTGACGGCAGAGTCTGCCCTGGCAGAAAGGGCTGGATTTGTGCCGGTCCCGGGACACACGGGCACTTGGACGACTGGAATGTACTCGGCAGGTCCGGCAGCTGGACTTCCAGCCAAGGGGATGATCAGGCAGGTTTTGTGGGTGACGAGGAATGGCAGGTTGGGACACCCCCGGGAAGGTTTGGCTGTGAGAGGTTGGGGCGTCAGCACCCCCTGATCTACGGCTCCCCAGCGTCCCCTGTGGGCCTGGACGCCAGCCTGTCTCCCTCCAGCTACGCCCCGGGACGGTGACACCATTCTGTGCTGCCCCCATGTGGCCGATCCGTTCTCATCACCAAGGAGGGCTCTCGAGGGAACCGTTTGCTGCTTTCCCTGCGTCTCCGTGTCTGGCGGCCTCCAGGGTGGGTTTTGCTGCGTCTCTGCTGGGGACGGGGCCAAGGGGTCACAGAGCCCCCGACGGCCGATTTCACCACCTACGAGCAAGCAGGGTGGGGCCTGGCTGGGGCTCGGACGAGGCGGCTGCAGCTGCCGGGGTGGTGGCTACCCTGCCACCTGGGCTTCTGTCCCAGCAGCGGCTCCAGACCCCCTCACAATGGTCTCTCACCCGAGTGAGCTCACAGGGTGGTGGGGACCCCATGATGGGGCCGTCCTGGGCGGATTTTCTCTCTGGTCTTCGTCCCCCCGTGTGCTCACTGTGCCCGGTGGACCGACTCCACTGTGGCATTGGAGTGGGGGCGGCCACACCGCGCTCCTCACGGCTGAAACGCGTGTCAGTCCCGTCACACACGTGTCCTCACAGCTCAGAGGGAGCTGAGCGCTGAGAAGGGAACCCCACCTCCCGTGTCTGGTGCCTCGGCGACTAGTTCCGGGTGAAGCTGGCAAGCGGAGCTCAGTGTCTCCTTATTTCTAGTATGTTTTCGCCTCTGTGCTCTGGCAGTCTCCTGTGACCCCTTCTCTGGTGAGAATCTGCCCGTCTGTTTTCCGTAGTAGGGGAGAAGTGGGCAGAGTGTTCGCGTCGGGCCGCAGGCTGGTGCCTTGGGCTGTGGCAGGCCCAGCACTCGCCTGCCCGGCTCCCGGGCCCGGGGTTCCGCCGGCGGCGAGGCTGTTCTAACACAGGGTCTTCTGACCCCCTGACCGGGGCCTGGCCCACACTGAAATGCAGACGTCGGTTTCCCCGCACGCGGTGAGGGAGCCTCAGGCCTGTCTCCTCCACCACATCCTGTCTCTGGACGGCCGCCGCGGGCACACCTGCTGACGGTGTTGCGAGGGCCGGGCTCCGTGCCTTGACCGGGCTGGGCTGTCATGCGTGGGTGTGGGGGGCCTGCAGCCTCTGAGGGGGACCCAGGGTGGCGTGTGCTGGGAAGGGACCCGAGTACACATTTGGGGAAAGAAAAAACGACCCCAAACCGGGCTCCACAGCAGAGGGCGCGGGGGTCCCAGTCCTGCCCCCCGCTGCCTGGGCCCTGGAGGGGACGCCGTGGTGCGTGGATGTGGGGTGGTCAGGGCAGTTTTGCAGAAGAAAGGGACTGTCGTCGCAGACGTGCGAGGGAGCCATTCACTCTGCCGCTGGTGCTCAGGCCCTTCCTGCTGGTTCTGGAACCTTCCACAGAAGGGCCCCTGCTCCCAGAGGCCTAAACCCGACAGGTGGCTTCGCCGCTAGGCCGTTCGGCCTGAACGGCTTCTCCTCTGGATTCGGTTGAGCTTCACTCACTTCGCCACCTTGTCGGCAGCAGCCAACGTCCTACCCGTTGTCCTTGCCGCCTGAATGGACGACGTGGAAAAGCAAAGACAGCATCGTTCCTGGCTCAGAGCACGCCCCTGTTTGAGGAGTTGTGTTTGGGGGTGCCCTGATCAGGTGGGACCCTGACCCACGGGTCCTGGGCCGACTTCCCGGGACACCCTGCAGATAAACCAGCCGCGGTGCGTGAGGAGCCCGGGTGTGTGGGACTTGATGCCGCCTCGTCTTGAGACGCACGTGGGCCCAGTCCCCCGTGGTCTTCACCGGAGGGAGACAAAGAGCCCAGGGTGCTGGCGGGCGCCCACCTGGACGGAGCGCAGCCCTTCCTGAAGGCGGGGCCCCGACGCCCGCAGGCACCCCAGCCGCTGCAGCAGGCCCTGTGCAGGTTGTGGCCTGAGGAATGTTCGCTTGGCGTTTGCAGACGGGACCAGGGCCCTTCCAGGTTCTGACGGACACTGGGATTTTAAGCAGTGGCTTGCAGAAGGGCATTTGTTGGGAGCCCGATGGGAGAGGAAGAGCCAACCTGACACGGTGACGTGTGTCTCAGACCCTTCCAAGGCCGCAGGGCTGGTCTCCCTGTCCTTTGACGTGTCTGACTTTCTGGGAGAGAGACCCACCCCGGACAAGTCAGACCGAGGCCCCTGGCAGCCACCGGTGCGGGGGCAGCTGAGAAAAGCACCCACATGCTCACCTCGGGAGAGACCCAGCTTCGCCACACGGCACTCTGCTTGCCCCGCGGAGGTCAAGGTCAGCGCTCCTGGGACTCTGAGCCCCACTGCTGCTCCTTCGGTGGCTGAGACTGGTTTCCTGTGTTCCCAGGACTGGCTCCCACCCAAGTCACATGGGTGCACGTGGTAACCGCGTCCCCTCCACCCTCCGCGCAGCCTGGACTCGAGGCCAGGACAGCCCGGCCCAGCCCAGGTGAGAGGAGAGGCCTCCGGCCCCCCACTGCCGGGTGCGGGTCCCTGTGCGCAGTGTCCTGCCCGTGTGCTTGGGCGTGTGCAGAGCTCTCCGCACGCTCCGTGCGGCCGTCAGTGCGGACCCGTCTCTGGTCGGCGGAGTCCGGAGCTTTCTCAGTAAGTCTCACACTCGCAGTAACACGCTGTGTTGTGGATGAAAATACTTCTCTGAGGCCTCGGTTCAGGAAGCAGTAGGATGCGGGCGCCAGGTGCCCGAGCCGAGCGGCAGGCGGAGCTGGGTCCCCGCTGACCCGCTCAGGACCTCAGACAGGTCCATCCTGCTCTGAGACAGAGGTCTGTTAGGTTCCTGTGTTTCCCTGAGGAAAGAACCCCTTGAAGAAGAGCTTAACCATGTGTTTCGGATTTTGGAGTTAATTGAGTGCTACTCCTCCACGGTTCTTTCGTTTTTAAAAAATTTTTTTCTCTATTGATTTTAGAGAGAGGAAGGGAGAGGGAGAGAGAGAGAAACATGGATGAGAGAGAACATCGACTGACCGCCTCCTGCATGCCCCCCACTGGGGATCGGGCCCACAACCTGGGCATGTGTCCTGACCGGGAATCGAACCGGCGACCTCTTGGTGCAGGGTCGATGCTCAACCACGGAGCCACACCGGCCGGGCTCCACAGTCCTCTCTGACAGGACGGTTCGGGTGACTGTTAACATTCTTGGCATCTGTTTCTCGAAAATTCATTGTAGCCCGAGACTCGAGACAGGCCCTCCTTGTGGTGACCGCACAGGGACCGTGAGTGAGGGACCCAGCGAGCTGCTCCAACAGGCTTGAGCTCACCGTGCCCTGGCGGCATGTGACTGGTCAGCCTCTCGCTGTAGGTCGACCCCTCTTGAGACCTGGAGCCCACTGGGCTGAGCGGTGAGGCCTCCTCTGGACTTGGCTGCAGCTGGCTCCTGGGTGGGTTTCCGAGGGGTCACCAGCCTGTGTGGGATGCGGGGGTGGCTAGTGCCACTCCCCCAGGCCGGCTGGACTCACCCCGAGTCCTGGGCCCTGACAGTTTTACCCCGGAGTCAGCACAGGACCCACGAGGAAAACGCTCCGTGGAACCGAGCAGATGTCTGCGCACTTGGC